TTGAAAGCGATGCTGATGTTATGATTGCTAAAATTGTGAGATTCCTACTCAAAGCTCTTCATTCTGTCATGGTTCTGAAATATATAGTGTATTTTGAGTATGTTTATTGCTTGTACAGTAAAATTGGAGGAACATGTTGGGCACATGGTATTTGTTTTCGGGGAAAGAAAAGTTCAGGAGTTAAAAAATTGTTTTACATAACTTTTTGTCATATATAATGTGTGATAGCGGGTTCTTTATGTAAAACTGTATAAGATTTGGTCCCAATTAACAAAAATGTTTAACACCCAATCTGGACAAAGTACTATCTGATGTAAACACTGATGAGATAATACCTAGGGTTGAGTGCTTACCAGCATAGCCTGCATAGGAATGAAGGTAAAAAGATCAAGCATGAGGCAACAAGTATCTGCTTGCTAGTATAAGCTTGGAGATTACGTGCCTCATTTTGCAGCTTCATGCATTATTACCTAACAAAATTTTTGCGCTCAACTTGTTAAACAATGTGCTTAAATTTTGTTGCACTTAAGTTTTCTTAAAAGCAGAGTATTTCATGCCTTTTACCTCTTTAATTTTGCTGTTTTTCCGCCCTAGCCCTTTTCGGTGGTAGCTACTTCAATCTTGTGTAAATATTTGAAATTTGACTATTGGAAATTGCTAACAAAGTCATCTTTTGCTGTTATGTAGGATGCTACTGCTAATGATATTCCCCAGGGAACTTTTGATGTCCAAGGTTATCCGACTCTTTATTTCAAGACAGCAAGTGGAAAGATCTCGCAGTATGAAGGTGACAGGACCAAGGAAGACATTATTGACTTCATCCACAAGAATCGGGATAAAGCTGCGGACCAAGGTTCGAGAAAAGAGGAGCTATAAGTAAAGGTAACTGAACTTCTAGGTCAAAACATTATTACTACTTGTGGAGTAAAACATAGCATTTGAAGTTGTCATATGCTGCATTTGGAGTTGTGTCATCTGCTTTGAAGTTTACCTGTAATTCAACCAATACATAATGTTTTGTTCAGTATTAGTAAAAATGGTGATATTGAGGTAAATTTTGATAGTTGTTGGAACGAATGGACAAGAAATTAAATGAACTTGAGCTGAAGACATGCATTTTCTCCTCTGTGGTTTTTACCTGTTGTGTTTGGTTTGAGTGGAAACAAGAAGTATCAATGGGCCTAAGAATAGAACCATATTTCTATTTTTTCTATTTGTTTTTTTTTTTTGTGCTAACCAATCAGGAGAAGGATTAAGCTCTTGAACTTTACCTACCTTCCTTTACTTCTCAATGTAGGAAAGATTCTTACTTGCTTTCAGACATGGCTTAGATATTTGGAATAAGTTTTGACTAGTTTTTGTTTGCTTTATGGTGTCTAATTTCCTCTTTGCCTCTGCCAGGAAGAATAGCAACAAGAGGAGATTTTAAAGGTTCCCAAGGCATTTGGCATTGTGTTGGCTGCCTTACCATTTACCAGGTCCAATGAAGTGAGGAAACATAGTTCGCGCTACATTTCCAACCCCAATCCCATCCCACCCCCCGAACCCCTGCCATCACAACCCCAAAAATAGCCCCTTTTTACCATGGTCTGTAACAAATATTTCTGATAAGGTTTTGTTGAGGATTAGGTATCGTAGCTATTCTCAATAGTTTGAGTAGTGCATCTCAGCGTGATGAAGGTTTTTCTGGAGAAACTATCATCTAAGTTATTTACTAAGCAAAGTGAAAACCCTTTATTAAGCTTGTCTTGAATGTCTTGCTTTTAGACTTACTTTTACTTAAGTTAGCTTTCCGGTTACACTTGGTAACTAAATGTTTCTGTTTAACGATAAATACTGGCCTCTCCAGTTTCCACTGTTATATGGAGGTGGAGTGGCGTCTGCTTGTGTTGGTGCCCTTTCTTTCTTCACTGTGTTATTTGATGATTATCTCTTCTAATATTTTTAAACTAATATAATCTCTCAAAATGTAGTAGATTTGCACGCATTAATAGCATGATTATGCTTGTACTTAGTAAGAATGAACTATTTCTCCCAATTATGTTCTTACTCAGCAAGATGTACGCTTTTTGTTTCCATTTTCTGAGACTCATTTAGAGCAGACAATTGAAGATGCTCCAAACCACAACCCATCAGCATAACTGATGAGTGTATGTACTTCTATCACCTGAGGAAACATAATTGGAGAGGAACGCTCAAGCTGACACATTGCATTGACACTCGTAACGAGCCCCGAGAGTTGTATAAGGGGGTAATCATTCCGCTCAACGGAGGATGTAGATCCCAAGAAGGGCATATAATGTAAGCAAGGAACCAAATGAATTCTGATGCACATGAGCGAATTTCCAACATGCACACACCCATAACAGATCGCATATTAGAAGATGTACTCGTACGTGTTACGTTCATTTGAAGTTCTCTTAGAAGGAAAGTGAAACCCAAGTCCCAGTACATCATTAGGCCAACTCCACTCAGGTAGAGAAAGGTGCATGAGCGCATATAAACTTTGAAAGAAGGTCAATCAAATGAGTACTAGCTACTTCTCTGACCTTGTTGTATCGAATAACAAGAATCGATCCCAACCAAGGAATGACATTTGGTGAGAACGTACGAGACTAGAGGACATTCATCAAATGCTGCATGTAGGTTAGAGCCATTCTCATCCCAACTGGTGACCCAGTTTGCTCATTGCTTCAGGATAAGCTTTACCGCGCTTGCATGGTTGTGGAGGACTACCCAAAATAGCTCCCTGGACATCTAAGCAAGTTACCCCGAGAGCATGACGAGAGGGAGGAGAAGAAGAACCACAGCAGTAGGTACCGCACGAGACAGAAGAAGACCTCATTGACCATCTTTTTAACATACAACATAATTCTTGCACAATAAGGATTATATAGAAGAAAGCACCATGCAAGGAAACAAAGCGCATCATACACAGAGAGGAAACAAAGACATCCAAACAGACTCATCGACCTACTGAGAACGGTCAGTTTTTCCATTTACCCATAATTGTTTCATTTCCTCCCAAACTTTCTTTCATTGCTCCCCCAACTACGGGAGGAGAGATAACGTTATCGACACTTGAAATTTTACATGTGATAATATTCGAGCCGAGAGTCTTTCAGAAACAGCCCCTCCCCAGACCCCACTACTGGAATTTGGGGGGGAAGGATTGGTCATGATTAAAATGCATTCCACACCATAATAGAGCAGGGACCTTAACTCGATAGGACGGAAACTAGAACGAGTTTATTTTCTGCAACATTGCCAAAATTTTCATTCATCAACCCTACCCTGACAGACTTAGGGCTAACTTCCACAGTGCATCCCTTCCCCAACCCAGATAAACCATACATCCAGCATAAATTACCTATGGATAAAACTATCCACCAATAAACCCAATCAACAAATAAATGAATTACTATACAAGTACCTACCTATTAACATCAACAGACAAAACTGACTTAATGATTAACAGTTAATATGCTAAAACTTATCGTCTCAAAAGCTGAACTTCTGATAGCCACTGCGTAACCAAGAGCATCCTCTGCGTGAATTGCTGTTACTGTCGAATATATCATTCTCTCTAACTAGTCGCCATGAATGTTATCCAAATTGGAATAAAGTTAGGATCCAATTGTGAAAATGATGCCAACGCTGCCTATGAACTGTCTCTAACACTCTGTAACCTGACTTGTTCATGCGCTCTCAGAGCTTCCGATGTGAAGTTCTCCAAAGCCTTGAAAATTGGAAGTAAACCCCCCTGTAAACTACTAGAAGCTGCATCATGCACTAACTTAATGGCATCCTTGTGCTTTGTTCTCTCCTCCACTAATTTCTTTTTAAACATATCCAAGTCCACCTTTAGATCGTCCAAAGGTGAAATGCCTTTTTCGGATGGAACAATTATGTGACTTCCGTCGGACATTGCATCTTGCTCATGCTTCACGCTCCCTCTCTTACTCTGAAGCATGGTTAGCCGTTTCTTGTAGTCCTTTGAGAGATATTCTGCTTTGATCCTCTGCCTCTGCTCCTCATCTTGTCTTTCCCAAAGCTGCCTCAAACTTGTAGCGAAACTATTCATAGCAATTGCTACACGAGTTTCAGAAATTGCTTCCATTGCCTGACTCCAATCATTGCAAATTACAAAAACTGGAGGAGCTCCAAGACGGCCAGGAGAGAAAGGGACAGGTCCATCGGGGGTTTCTTCCAGATCATACTTAAGGCATCGTAGAAGCCACCCGTTTAAGGATTCTACATAGGATTTCTGGCTGCAAATCCAATCATTAAAGTGGCTACACCATGACGAAAGCTGCATCTCAAGTTCAAGAGTAGCTCTCACGCTTGAATCTCTTTGAAATCCAGTATTTGCTTTGAGAGCCCTTGTTTTACTCTCCATCACTGCTTGAAACTGCTTCTGATGACAACTGAGCATTGACCTCCACATTCTCACCAGCCTGCTTATTTACATACAGTATATCATCAGATCAGGCCTAAAGGTGCACCCACCAGCACGTAGATTGAGTGGAACAGGAAAACTTATGCAACTGCTATAAGTTAATGATGCATTAAGAATGCATGAGGGGTAACATTTACTTAAATTCTTGAGGCGAGAAATACAAAATAAAGCATAGATTACAATGCCAAGTTCATGTAGCATTACAATGCATGAGAAGTAAAAGTTCAGAATACTTCTTGAATGGAGGAACAAAAGTAAATAGTGCATTAGCATGCTTAGTTCATATACATTACAATGCATGACAAAATAAACATTCGCATTATATCTTAAAAGGAGAAAACAAGATTCATGCATTACAATGCTAAGTTCATGATGACAATCCATGACCAAGTAAAATGGTTCATGTTACTTCTTGAAGAGAGGAATACAAATAAATAACAGAATAGCAGCTCAAGATGTGGAAAGGAGAAATAAAAATAATACAAAGGAAATAAGAAGTGAAGCAACAAATACTGATCATAGATTATCCACTACAAATAATGAATCAAAATCCTACCGAACGAACTTAAATATTACGCAAATAAAAGCCTGCGAAACAAGCAAACATTCAATACTTTGTTTTCTAACTACTTTTTTCAACTGTAAGATACAAATTAAATTTCCTTGGTAAGAACGTTCCAATCCCCAAATAGAACTCTCCAAGATCTCGACAGTAACAATTGCTAAATACATAAGTTTACAAGACTTGCATTACATATATAACCATTTAAAAATAAGTAGTTTTGTAACAGCTGAATTAAAATACACCTACCAGATGCGGGCAGAAAAGAATTAAATACATCTATCCACTTGAGCTAACTACAGCTAAAATATAATTTCACACACTAAGGTGACGCAGTCAAGTCTTTTGGAAAAACTCAATATCTCAATCAACCTTCTTAACTTGCTGAACAGAGAAGTCCAAATTCATATCTACATTTTCAAAAGCTAACCATAATCAATCCACAAAGATTTCCAATATCATATAAAACCGCAAATGTTGACTAGTTAATATATGACCACTAAATTTGTTAACTACTTGTGAGCATTCAAACTAATCCATCCGGGACTGCAGCGTCATTTTAGGCATAGTAAGATATTAACATTAGGTCATTTGTCTCTTCTCTGGCCATGTCTGTTTCCCAACTTTCTGTCTCGCCAAACTAAAAGTGAAACATAATAAAAGGATGCAGAACCTTCTTCCAAAATCCTAATTTGATAGAAACAACTGCACCATATAATGTGGAAGGAAAAATGAACAGAAAATGTTCATGAATGAAGAAAGGATGAATGCGTTATATAAAAAGGTTGGAAAGAACTCAGCAAACAAATGTGATCATCTCGTTGGCAAGTCCATAGTAAGGAAAAAAGTGCAAACATACACCTGTTGCACTATCAGTAATCTTAAAGGGGAACAAAGTGATATAGAGGAAAGAATGAAACACAAGAATTAACGAAATAATTGAGTAGACCCATACCCGTGAATTAATTCTGCAACTTGGGGTTGCAATTCTTCATCCCTTAATTTGTGAATTCTGCGTGCAATTGCGTCAATTGCTTTTATACAGACGTTAAGTTTTGTTAGCAATCTTCTGATCGATGCCTGAGTAGCATCTATCTTGCTTGACTCAGCTCCTTGCTCGTCCAAGGTTCTCAGCCTTCTACAGTGCTTTTCATATACAAGCCGCAGTTTTTCTTCATCCTACATCAAACTAACCACTTCAATGAACACAAAGTCCAAAACAGCAATATCACTATGATAAAAATTCAACATGGGAAAGTAGATACAGGAATCTGCAATAGATGAGTCATTTGAATGTGTCACAGGCCATCAGATTAATAATGAAAACAAGAATGCCCTTAAAATATATGATGGTTTCATGAAGATTAAAGAGTATGAAGTCAGCAAAATATTTAACGGTAAGATTTTTCATAGAATTCTTATTTAATGGAAATAAATGGTCTTGTCTTTAAGCTATTAGAATTTGAAATCAATTAAAGAAGTTTAAGAATACTGAACACTGGAAATTCTGTGTAAACAACTAAGAAAAGAATATTGTTGAATAGTTGACAAATTCCAGACACTACTGGATGATGGGAACACCAAGTCCTACCAAGATATCATTTGATGGCTTTTCTTTCTACTTACCTTCACATGTAAGGATCTAATCCAACTATGATTATCTGCATTTGAGTGACTATACCTTTTAATGGAAGGCAATATTCTACTTCCTCTGTCCCATTTTATGTGACACAAATTCTTTTCTAGTCTGTCACAAAAGAATGATACTTTCTATAGTTAGAAATAATTTAACTTTAAAATACTCATTTTACCCTTAATGAGATGATTTATAGCCACGCAAATGTCTATGGCTTGTTTTAGATCACAAGTTTCAAATAGCTTTCTTTCTTTCTTAAACCCAGTTAAACACCATCACATAAAATGGGACGGAGAGGGTAATTTCTTGTCTTTGACTTGAATAAAGAAGTTTCAGTGTCAAAATATATATCATGGGCGTAAGCTGCTACAAATTCCAATTTCCTTACTTCAGTGAGCAAAGCATAAAGAACTCAAGACTTCTTTATTCATCTTCGACTTGAGCACTTTGAGATCTTGACATCATTATGCGATGATAAAGTTTTATATTGCCATTTCAGTTTATGCGCTCAATCTGATCACACATTGTATCTTCTATATTTCTAAACAAGGACACCAGCATTCATAAAACATGAGGGTTTTTTTATATTTTTTATGAGTAACATGAAATTTTTTCAATCCTTGCTTCCAGTTTGGAAGCAGATGTCTTACCCCACCACTCTTTTGCCCAAGGAACTAGATATTGTAATTAACCATCCAAACATCCCGATTCCTACTAAAATTTGATGACCGTATCTGGTTCATCAAATGTTCTTCTGACTCAAAGTTAAGAGAACACGTTACACTTATCAGTATAAAAACACAAGTTTAACCTAGGAACTAACTCATTGATCGCTTTCAGTCGGGCCAAGGATACAATTACCTGACCCAAAAGTGCAGTAATGATGATAAAATTTTTCAAAAGACCGGTCCCCTAAAGAATTGAAATCTAATATCCAATTGATGAGTCAATAGCTCCAAAAGCTAACTTTCAATGAATAAAAAACACTGCTTAAGCTTCAACCAACTATAGCAAAAGCTGAACAAGATATCAGTCAAACGGCTTTATTCATTAAGGAGAATACCAATTCACATGGCACATGAGAAATTCCATGTTTTCCACTTCTAGAGAATTCTACACATGAAAATATATAGACAAACGAATCTTTCAATAGCTCATCATATAGACATAAAAAAGATCTTAGTAGTTGTCTACCATTACCTTAACTTCCTTATATAATTTCTTCTCCCATTCATATAGCTCGTCAAGGGTAGCTGACAGGTTACAGGGCTGCACAACATTGTCTTGGCCAACATCTCCAAAATAGGATTTCACCAATTTTCTTGTTTTGGTAGCCAGTCTAACTGACTTCAGTGTCACCGTATGCGATACCGACATGGACGGGACAATCAGGTATAAAATCCTGGATACAAGCTCTGAGCACAAAAATCAGGGGAGTAAGAAGGATGTCATCATGTTTGTTTATCAAGAAAGTCGAGATAACATGCAAATCACAAATAAAGGCAAACAAGCGACTATTGATCAGAGAAAATTCTCCGATTGGATGCATTTACGGCGTTCGCTATGCTTACTGGAACAATTCTATTTCTAACTTATTGCCATCTCTGTTTTTCACAATTTAATTAAAAAACTACTAATAGCTAGGGAAACATTCATAAAAATTCACATTGAGATGGCGAACAAGTGCAACAATGACAAACTAGTTGCAACTTACATTGAGATGCGGTATATTTAATATGTTCCCATCTCATAAATAATGATTAACACAGTCGCGTTCTAAAAACTAGCAGCAAATTGTTAAGCAGTAACAATCTAAATTCTAAAATGACACTAATGCCATGAGTGGGCTGTCGGTTACTCCGGGGAGAAAGTTTTCAAGTTAGTGAAGATTTATGGAAAAGGGTCATATTTGTCCCTTTACTCTCGAAAATAAGTTATATGTACCCTCCGTTTCAGTTTCAGAGTAAAACTACCCCTACCATTACACTTTTGGATCATATTTTCCCCTTACCCGTTAAGTGGCTTGATGCCTTGATCCCATCTTAAAAAAGGCATGTGGCTGGTCCTGATTGGATAAAAAAGACTCTCCCGCTAAACTTAATTTTCTTCTTAATCTTTTCTCTTTTATTTTTTCCTTTTCTCATTAATTTCTGTTATTTCCTTCTCTCCATCCTGGTCTTCTTCCCTACAAGTCCAGAAGAGAAGGCCCAACTTCATGAAAATCAATAACAAAAATCTACATACTACCACCACCTTAAAATTATCACAATTTTCTAGCTTTCTTTAAACCCTATATTTTTCCCTTTCCGTTTATATCTATTTTGAGCTCGTTTTTTCTGATAAGAGTTTCATAGAATGGAGGAAATTAGATTAGCCGTAAGGAGGTGGTCGGTCATTAAAATGGTGAAAGTTGCTAACTTCATCACCAATGTAGCAGTTGTCTTTAATTTTTGATGCTAAGCTATGGAACTTTGACAGAGAAAAGTGGAATAAAGGGAATGAGGAAGAAAAAGAAAACAAGTAACTGAAAGTTTGTAGTAATTCTTGAGAGAGAATAGGAATGAGGTAAATGGAGTTTGCTCTGAAGTTAAATGCTGGAAAATGTGTGGTGGTTAATGGGGGAGTAAGGGTATTACCGGGTGTTACGGAAGAGGGAGGAAGGTGACGAAGGTGACGAAGGTGGAGTGAAGAGGATTGGATTTTGGTTCACCAATTGGAAGACCAATAAAGCAGATCCTGGAACAGACTTTGAAGGTGCAAACAATGGGGATGCTGGTAATGCCAAATAAGGAGGAATGTCGAAAACCATTAGCTGGGCATCAATCAAGAGGCCTACTGGTTACTGCATAATTAGAAGCATGAAATGCATACACAAAAAGAGTGGAGAAACAGGGAAGAGAATGCAAAAAATGAAGATGAGGAAGAGAACAAGAGAAAGTTGAACTGGAATTATGCAAGAAAAGTATACTCATGGGAGAGAAATCCGGCAGCCTTCATTACGATCAGAATAGCGTTCTGTTACCAGAACTTCTTCCAAAGTGGGGGAATGAGTTTAAATTTAGTTTAAATTTTTTTTTTTGGATGGGTGGGTTATTATTACGAGTCGAGTGGGATTTAATTAGAAATGGGGCAGATCCTTTTTATCCAATCAGGGTTGGCCACGTGTCTTCTTTTAAGATGGGACCAAATCATGTAACGGGTGGAGGGCAAATATGATCCAAAAGTATAACGGTAGGTGTAGTTATACTAAGAAACTGAAATGGAGGTAGATATAACTTATTTTCGATAGTAAAGGAGTAAATATGGCCCTTTTCCAGAAGATTTAAGTAGATTAAGAAACGGGCAGAAAAAGAAGTCTAAATGAGCTGAACTAAGCTTTTCTTTTCTTCTTTTTCCCATCGACAAAGAGCTGAACTAAGCTTACACTCGTTAAACTATAATTAGTATAACTTATGAACATAACAAAGTAAAAAAGAACCAGATAGACAAAGTAGAAACTTAGAAGAACCCCAGAATCACTGAATCAAGAGAAACATTGGCAGTNAAACCATAAAAGTATTAACTTATGAACATAACAAAGTAAAAAAGAACCAGATAGACAAAGTAGAAACTTAGAAGAACCCCAGCATCACTGAATCAAGAGAAACATTGGCAGTACCATACCTTTAACAAGGCTAGGCTGGTAAGGAAGCTTCCCAACCTCAAGCATCAGAGCAACTTCCCTTCCATTACTGGAAGCAATCTCAAATTCATCTCTAATTTCAGCCACAACCTCATGAAGATCCCTGGTGCCATGAGCATGTGATGTGGTCAAGCTACTTGACTTGGGTGATTCGATCTCGTTCTTTGACATTTCATCAACCTCAAAAGTCACTCCTTTCTTCTTCAAATGCACATCTTCTGGGCTTCTTGACACGAGCGTTTCAAAATAGCTCTTTTCCTCTGTGATATCAATTGACCCTGTGCCACCACTACTGTGTGATGGTTCTGCACTCGAAAGGTGAGAACCTGAATCGTACATTGTTGATATCGTCTTTGTCCTGCCACTACTACCCTCAAATTTTACTCCCCTCGAACTTGATGAGCCCTCCACATTATGTAATGACGAGTCTGGTTTTGAACTGCCCACACTACCGTGCCCTGCTACACCCCTTAAATCAACTCCATGAGGCATTGGTGGCATTGATTTCCTACCACTGTCA